TGCTGCATTGTAAATTTTGGTCAATGACATGAGACAAAGTATATGTGAACTGCTGTATGAAAAGTGAATTTACTCTGTAAATCTTCACCGAAATCCTAATAAAAAATAAAATAAAATAAAAGCGCTGCAGGTGCCGTTGTTGAGAGCCCCAGTTCTAGCCAAATAGGACACTGTGTTTCCAGACTATTTTCCACAATTTCCTATGTCTGTGTTTTTGCTTACGCTATTTTCTATATGGAAAATTTTCTCTTATATACCACTCATTTTCGAGCCTCATCTCAAATCTCATGTCTTACAGAAAGTTTCTAATTCCTCTCAGCAGATGCAAGCACTTCCTCCTTTAAACCGCGATAGCATCTTGAGTTGACCTCTTTCATGGGACCATCACACTCCTCCTTGTAACTCAGTGATGTACATAATGTATTCTTCCATCCACTCTTAGACTTTAAGAGCATTCCCTAGAATAGTGTCTTACACATAGCAAGTACTCAAATATTAATTGACTACGATTACTTTGTATTTCCATTTCAGAAGTATTCTATGTAGCTCAGAAGGAATTCTGTATTATCAAATAAGATTCCTCATCTCCATCACCTTCTACCTCCCTTTTTCTACTTTAAAAAGAGATTAAAGACAGAATACCAAGTGAATTAAAATAAAGAGGAAAGGGAGAGTGACAAATTCACATCAAGGCAGTTCAAAAAAATTTCTTAAGTAAGTTATCAAACACAGAGATGTGTGCACATACACACACACAAACACAAATGACACTGGAGAAACATGAACAGGTTGGTAGACTGTATCACTGTTGTGATATCCTGGTTGTGATAGTACACTGTAGTTTTGCAAAATGCTACCTTTGGGGAAAACAGGGCAATGTACAAAGGATCTCTCTTTATTTATTTGTTTAAGTAATTGAATGTAAATCTACAATTATCTCAGTAAAACTTCAATTAATAATTATCAATGAGAGTATTTCAACAAGAGATTAAAACAGTGATGATCCTGTTGGGATATAAGCCAGATAAAACAGTAAGTATGTTTAACCAGCCCTAACAGCTAACACTGCCTGCTACGCACAGAATGGAAACAGGTCATAGTGCTGCATGTGGAGTATTACATGTAATTCTCAGCACTGCCTAGAGACCAACAAGAAAGGAGCCAGAAAAGACTGACAAAATGACAGAGGATAAAAGTACCAACAAACAACAAAGATTACAGGATTCAGTGTACATGTCTTAGGGGAAGACCTGAGAATGAGCCTATTTGGAGGATGTAAAAACAAAGACTTGGTAGGGGAGGAAGAAGGGTGTTATGTTATTGTTAGGTGCTGTCGAGTCAGTTCCAACTCAGAGTGACCCTATACACAACAACACACACAAGCCACCAGAGTATGACAAACTGACAGACAAACAGTGGGAAAGAAGAATAATAGTAAGGCAAAAACAGTGTAACAGAGTGAAAGAGAAAGACTAGTAATTTAAAAAGAACAAAGAACACCTCTTCCTTTAAGTTAGGGTTTGAAGTCTCCTCTAGGAAGGCATAAAGGACATTCTTTCTACCTCTGGGAACCTCTGAGACAGAATCAATCTTAGGAAATCAACCAAGCCTAACCTTGAGAAATGGGCGAAAGGTATCTGAAGAGGACTGCTCCAACTCCAATCAACCATTCAAACAAATGCACTAAAAACCAAAAGCCCACTCACAATCCTCTCCAACAAGCACTGAGCACCTTGTAGACCAAACACTTTGTATACATCTTCCTTTAATCCCCACCTTACCTCATTTTATAACAAGAGAAAACTAAGAGATGCTAAATAATGTGACCAAAATAATGACAGACCTCAGATACACGCTAAGGATGTCTGAATCCAAAGCTTTCTCTCTGAATTACCATATCTAAGCCTCGACTCTAGATTAAAGCCCACAGATGGGGGAATACAAGTCTCTCGGGTCTCATCAGTACACATCTGGAACAATGCAGCACAGCCCAAAGAGTGAAAGTCAGGAGCTACCCTCAAGCAACAAAAGCGGAGATGTCTGCCAAAAACAGCACTAGGTGGCCAAGTCAGGAAACACCACCTTTTCTTGTGGTACTCTGTCTGATCAGGCTTCTAACAGCCAACGGCCTTTACCTCCTGCGTTTCCTGAGAAGGGGACGATCCAAAAGTTCATCTGCAGTGGGTCTCTGCTCAGGATCCTAGAAAGTAAAAATGGAATTAGTTTTCATTTAAGGAGAAGAGTACTATGGGATATAAAGAGGGATCTTATGTCTTCTGAATGAGATGTTTCCAACACACCTACCTCATTTGTTCAGTTAGGCAGTGGCTCTAAGACTTCAATATATACACAATAATCACCTAGGCTGCTTGTTACAAATGCAGATTTCTGCGTTTCCAGTTATCTGGGATGGAGCCTAGGAATCTCTATTTTTAACTTGTATACCCATTCCCACCCCTTGATGATTCTGATGCCTGTGGTTGGTCTATGGACCATACTTTGAATAATACTGACTTAGAGCTACACAGCAAGGCAACTGTGAGCTAACCGAACCATACACATTCTACACATTAGGAACTCCAAATTATCTTGGTGTGTAATTTTATAAAATCAATTTACAGAAATTAATCTTGATCATAAAAAATGGAGCACAATTTAGACGGTAAAAACATTTCACAAATTAATACATAAGAATAAGGTCAGAATTTGTTGGCTGATGTACACAATTATCATGAATTGCCAATGCCTATTCTTACGGGTAAGGCCAGAAATACATCCGACCTCAATGAAGCAGATGTGCTTTTGTGCAGGTTCATCTATGCTACATCCCAAATACTAAGACTGAAGAGAGAACACTAAACTAAATATACATCTCACCTACCTGATCCAGACACGCATGGACCATCTGGATTAGTTCCAAAGAATACTGGCTAGAATCAACTTCCATAGCCCGGATTCCTTGCACAATCTTCACACACAGGTTGAGTGGGTTCTACAAGAAAATGTTGACTGTGTCATTCCTGGTTATATAAAGATGACTTTATAATCTACCAGTAGGTGCTCTGAAATGTCTGTGACTGTTATTTAAAGTGGCAATAACTCTGTGTTAGGTCTGATTTCTTTTATGGTTTTTAGCAAGCATCATCAAGAAATGGTTAGGGATGTACTGCTGCCATCAGATGGAAAGACACCAACTGGCCAGCACGGAGGCTGAAACTATGACTATGTGGCCAATAGCATAAAGCTCAGAGTATCTCATAAGCTAACACTTCAAATGAACCTTAAGAAAAAAAGAAGGCAAGATTAGCCATGTTTCTTGGCTTCAAGTACCTCCTAGGACTGACTCCTAATTTACATATCCTATTAATGGCTGTATAACGTCAGCAGTCTGAACCCACAGCTGCTCTGCAGGAGAAAGCTGAGACAGTCTGCTTCAGTAAAGACTTACAGCCTTGGAAATTCTATGGGGCAGTTCTACTCTATCCTACAGGGTCACTATGAGTTAGAATTGACACAATGGCAGCAGGTTTGGTCTCATAATGGCTGTGCAGGCTATATGCTACTGCAACAGACAAGGTCAGGAATAATAATGATAATGATGATGAAGATGATATAATACAACCACCACCTTTAGGTACCAGGCAGGCATGTTATATATATATGATCCTTTTCAATCTTTGCAAACACCATGCTAGGAGGTTATTATAATCACCAATTTGTACCTGAGAAAAAAGAGGCTCATTTTCTTTCTACTATATTATTTAGGAAAACTAGGTAATATACCAGAATAAAGGTCAGGATTTAGAAAATTAACAAGTCTCATGAAAGGCAAATGAATTTTTATCACCTTACATTTTCATTTTTCATATACATTTTCAGAGCATCTCTGTGAGAGGGATATACATTATTTCTGTTTTATAGGAAATGAAACAGATGATTCAAAGAGATGAAGTGACTTGTCTAAGCTCTCACGCCTGGTCTGCAGAGGAGACTGGATGTGAATCCCCTTTCCTTAAACTGTGGTTCATGGGCCAGCAGCATCAGCACCACCTAGGAGCTTGTCAGAAAGGCAGGATACTGGCCCCACCCCAAACCTACAGAAACAGAATCTGCACTTGAACAAGTTTCCAGGGGATTCTGTATCCACATTAAAGTTTGAGAGGTATAGCTTTACATGAGGTTTTTACTTAATAATAACCAAAAGAATAAACACTTACAGAAATTTGTTGTCCCTAAAATGACAATCTTGAATAAGAAAGAGTATATAATTTTTCATGAAAAAATCAAAATGCTTAAATGAATCTTATATTATGTGCCTTAGGCTTTGGGAGAAAAAAAAAAATGATGCAGCTCAAGGAGTTTTGGTAGCTCACTGCCTAAGGCATTTGAAAGCAAACCAGAAGGTTGGCAGTTCAAACCCACCAGCCGGCCGCTCCACAGAAGGAAGATGGGGCAATCTACTTCAGTAAAGATTTACTGCTTCAGAAATTCAGTGGGTTCTTTATGAGTCAGACCTGACTCAATGGCAGTGAATTTGGTTTTGAGTTTGTTAGCTCAGGCGTAAGAAATGAAATGGCTCATCCAAACTACAGCAGATGGCTGATCCTACAACCAGTTTTAAAACAGCAGGCAACAAATTCAAGTACAGTGCTCTATTTCCTTATGATCATTTTAATGGGGTATTCAAGTCAGCTCAACAATACACTACACACCCAGTGCCTGAATACAGGTTGTTTTTGTCTATAGTTATTTTCTGTTAAAGAAATCAGAAGCTCAGGAATAAATGAGTTGATAATCTTTTGCAAGGACAATGTGGGGATAATACACCAACTTACTGTGGCATCAAATGTCCTTTTTAGTGTAAGTAGTTCAAAAATGACGCAGCCGACTGCCCAGATATCAGACTTGAAATTATATTTTACTCCTTGGCAGAGCTCTGGAGACATGTAATATGGAGTTCCCACAAGCTGAACAACAAAGAAACAATTAAAGAATAACTTCTCTTCTGAGAACTATATTAACATTTCAACAGCTAAATTAAATTTCTTAGGAACTAGTGCTAACAACCATAAAATATTAATCAGCAGATCCCAAAATGATTTTTAAAGGATGATACCACTATGGGGAGAAACTATATTCCTACCAAATCTCTTGGGCCAGTTTTAAAGGGGTAATCTTTGTGGTTAAGGCACTGTGGTAATATGAGAGGCTCAGTGTCTCTGTGATTTCTAGATCACAGAGGCTTTAGGCATTCAAGGCCCACTAAAGACATCATACAGAGGAATAGGCAGATAAGTGACACAGACCCTCTTCAACACAGAAAAGAAAAACAATTGACAGAGATACAGAAAGTTATCCGGGAGCTCTGAGCTTTGAAAGTAACTATACAGAAGTGGATTAGGCATCAACTAGTGGAAAAACCTAAATGAAAACAGTGAGTACAGAGATGGTTGGAGCTGCGGACTGTCAGCTACTCTGATGGGACCAACAGCCTGAATATTTCCAAGTGGTGCTTGGGACCTGAGAATTGACCTAAAGATCAACCCTGGTCACCAAGACCTACAGGGACGACTGAGCTGGTGGCTTATGACTAGGAAGGGAAACAGCAGGAAGGGAAACAACCTGAGCTGTTGACTTTCCACTGTCCGGAGGGCGCAGCCATTTTGATTATTTACAAGTGGTGGCCATTCTGGATATTTAAAGTGACCAAGGGCACAGCCATTTTGAATCTTTACAAGTGGCAACCATTTTGGATTTTAAAGTGATAGCATTCTCATTTGAATTCCAGGGACCTAAGAATAGGCTCTGTTTGCCAAGGTCGGCAGGGACATACAAGAAGCTGACAACAGGAAAAGAAACAGGTGGTGAGTGTATAAGTGCTGTCAACTAGCGAACAAAGGAGCACTGTATCCTGTTTGTGTAGATAAAATACAAACAAAACAGAAAACAAAAATCGTGGGCAAGTCACTCCAACATACAATCACCAATTAAATATAAACACAAAAACATCACAATGCCTCATAGACAACAGAGCATTACAGTCCACCCAAAGCAGCAAGAGAAACAAGGGACCAGGATATAGACCCAAAACACATCCCTGAGGAAGATGCAGCATCGGAACTCCCAGATAAGGAATTCAAAAGAATTATGTTTAGGTATCTTTAATGAATTGAGAGACAGATCAAGGAAAACACAGAGAAAACCCCAGAACAATTTTGAAAGACAATACGAGAACAAAATGACAAAATAAATGAAAAATTAGAAATAATACAAAATCTACACACAGAAATCCAGAAGATTAATACTAAATTTTCAGATATAGATAAGACATTGAATAGCCAAAGGACCAGAATTGAATCAATGGAAGATAGAATTAGGGAGACTGAAGGCAAATAGCTGA